AAAAATAGATTTTTCATATGTTTTACTATGTGATCGACAAAAATTACGTAGACTTTTGTCCAGTGAGTGTATATTAACGAAATAAATAGGGCATGATGCTACTCTCGTATGCACTAAACAAATTGAAAAAGAATTTGCTCCTTGATTCATCGATAAGTTAGCGATTTAATCAGTCGTGTTGTAATTCTTACTTAATTGTTATATTTATAATTATTACAGACGCCGATAGAGAATACGTCTTTGCGTAAAATTTGATCCTAGTGTCAGGTGTACTGCGAAATACGAATCATATAATCAAGAAAAGAATCATCTTTTAGAAACATTTAGTATGCATTTTCATCTTAACGATGTAATTAGACATGAATGCATTAATAGTACAATAGGAATTGGCCAATTCGACAACCTCATCACTAAGCAGGGCGGTGAAGGAGACGCAGCAGCCTCGCTGCAGACACTCGTCTCAAGTAATAACGCGTCTTAGATAGTAGTAGTCGAATAATTCAGGAATGAAATTAATGTCTACCGATTGCCACAAGGTTTTGAGTACGTTGCGACCGATTCTGACTGTTGTTGACTCGAAACAATTGAGCCAATTATTATTTTTATATTGAGATAAATATTACACTCGTGGAGGAAGGATCAGATGTCTTTAGTCTTGGAGTAGATCCAATGGAACGAATGTTTTCGTGTGATTCTACTATTTCTGGAAACTCTGAATGCCATGCCAGTTTACGTAAGCATGCAATACACGCTTCAAACTTGGTAAGCGCCTATACACGCACGAAATAATTTCTGAAAAAAATCAAACATAATAATAAATTATCCTGTTTGAATATCACATTTGCCAATTGTTATTTGTCGCCACATTTATGTATTCTATTTGCTGTACACCTGATACGGCATCATATCTATTTATCGCATTACTAATTTCCCCATAACCCCTTTATCAGGTATAAACGAATTTGACCAAGACGTCTTGGCGTGGTAATGTATTTATCTTGGGTTTGTATTAATACGTGAGTATTGAGTGATCAGTTTATGCGTGATTGAATAGTATACCTTGTCACAGCATAAATCTTCCGTCGTGTCCGTTATTTCAAATGGGCGATTTTATATAATTACAATCCGTATAGAGCATATATTATATTTTTTATCGTTAATATAATCACATTCCAAGCGTATTTGCCCTTTACAACATAATTCGATCAGATGTTTTCAGCGAGTTTTCCAAACAGTCAATGGTTTGTCGCGTGTGTCAATCAATATCAGAGATCAGGTGTGCGCGCGTCCACGTGAGTGGCATTTGAATTAATGATTATACTTTAACCAGCAATTGTTTCAGGAAAAGCTTGAAAAAGTCCCTCCCATATATACAGTATGAGAATATCGAAAATTCAAAAGCTAATACCTTGGCAAAATGAATTACAATATAATGCTAGGTTGACTTCATTGGAACTTGGAATTATATTAGAGTTATATGGGCCACAAGCATTAGCAAGTAAATTCTATTGTTTAGTGTCGTAGTTTTGGAGAAACAAAAACTTGAACTTGGCGCTAAATTAATCTTCTTAATATTAACGGTTATAAACGTTTCTTTGAATTTAAAAAGTCGAGATTATCCAATACTGAACAGAATAACGTTATTACAATAAGACCGACAACAAACATGCGGTCACTCGTGTTTCTTTTGGATTGAACCACAGTCTAAGACAAGATCTGATGCCCGTTTATACCATGTGATTCACAATAAAGCGAGTAATGTAAACTGGAAGAAATTTTGCAGGTTAACTGTATCTCGATTATTTGAAGCAAACATAGTGTCTCTCATTTCCCATAGTGTAGTTAGACGATATGTTAAAGGATAACAGTGTTATAAATAAAAAGTTTCTTGTTGAATTCGCCTTTTCAAAGCTTGTAGTCCAAACTATGTCAGCAAATAGAGGCGGATCATTCAAAAGGAAACAGATCAAAATTTAAGGTTTAGGATCTCCGCATAATGACTCTTCATTATTCACCATCGGTTGATCGTATCATCGAAACGCTAACTATAATTTCTTGAGATACTCAACATACAGTTAGTGAATTTACCAAGTCTAATGACGATAACTATTACAGGCCACATATCATTTAACAGTAATTATGCTCAATAATAGCATTGTTACGTTAACCCGGTACGAATTTCAAGACTCGAAAACCTCAGTATTAGTATATGATTTATCACCCGGCTATCAAACGAGGTAAAAAGTCGTACATTAAAGTAATATCGCATTTGAGGCTGATTATTATTGCGTAATTGAACGTGACAGCGTACGCCAAATGACAAACTTAACATTGTTATCACAACAAAAGTAATAGTGGCCTCATAATTATGCGCCATGTTTATAGGTATGTGAAATATCACGCCATAAATCAGGCCATAAATCAGGCCATAGACACATGCATATTACCTAATATAATTCGGCAATGAACTTGCATACTTTAAATTATACACAGTACTACTATTGCTTATATACCTCAATTATGTCCCACCTCGAATATATCACCTCGATCATTTTCGTATTCTACGATAAAACCGCCGAATTACGGACCGTTTTAATATGTCATACCAAAACATCGGAATGAATATCAAACATATAAAATAACGCCCGCACTTTATTTAGCTGCTTTACAGCATTATCTCTCAACCAGACCACTGCTCTTACTTACCATACCAAAATGAGTACAGAAATTGCTCACATCGACCGTGCAAGGCTATACACAGATCTTCAATATCGATTCAACTACGTTGCTCAATTTGTCGAATTCGGCGAGGAAGACATTAAGGCAATCAAGAATTCGGCTCCCGTTATCGCACCGCTTGTAAATACGGTCGTTGAACTCGTCTATGAAAAGCTATTCTCCTTCGATATCACAAAGCAGGTGTTTTTCGCACGCAATGCAGGATACACGGGGAAAATCGAATCCACGATAGACTTGTTTAACACCGATAGCGAACAGATCAAGTTCCGAAAGGACTTTCTTAAGAAATATCTTGTGAAATTGGTCACAGCAGAGTACGATTCGAAATTTGTCAACTATCTCAATTATGTTGGGAAAATTCATACATCGTTCCCGGGCAAGTCGTCTCGCATAAACGTAGAATATATCCATTGCAATGCGCTGTTTTCGTATGTGCATACTATCCTTATCGACGCAATCAGCAAGGCGGGATTGGACAAGGATGTCGCAACTAAAACAACAATTGCATTTACCAAGCTGTTATGGATACAGAATGATCTGTTTGCTCGTCATTATGTAGCAGACGGAACAGATGTAACACAAAATGGGAATGCAAACCGAGGGGACGCTGGTGGGAGTTATTATAACTATAATAGTGCACCAGTTTGGTGCGTATCTTTGTGTTTATCAGCATTAGTAATAAAGTACCTATTTGCACGTTAATTTATTCAACTGTAATTACAAATAAAAAAGCATTTCTACCCTATCTACAGTCGATAGATCGACAATATTTGAAGTTACTGTTATCGTGTTGACGTATTAAGACATATTGTACGCCTACGCTAACAAACTTTGAAGCGTTCTATGCAAATACTCTATATTCCTCGCAATCTAATGAATTCATAATTTGTGGAAACATAATGTGTATTTTTAAAGCCCAAAGAACAATTTTACAGAGCTGGAAGAATTAAGCATATAAAATTATCTGCCATGATGTGAGCACACCATGGTCATGCTGTCGCGAACAATGCAACACTTGTTGAGAATGTCCTTATAAATATGACTATGTACAATAATAGTTAGTTCTCAAACATGATGTGCTTATGGAGGGAGTAACTATACAGACGTTGACTTTACGAATTTAATGCATAGCAAAACATCGTTAGTCTTTTCTCGTATAACTTTTTCGGCTTAATCTTAGCAATCTTATTGACTTTAATCCCATTTCCCCGATAATTTGAGTGTTCTGGGTTGCAAAATTCTGTTACTGTGCTGTTTGCAACCAATCGTATATTATGAACTCAAAGAGATCGGATCTGATGGTTAGTTACTACTGCCATCACATTTATTCGTTTGCTACAAAATTCACAATCAAGTCCGCATCATAATTCAAACGCTTCTCCAAAGTGACGAAATCAAGGACAATTATGTCAAAACACCAGCTGCTCATTGAGCGGAAATATTTATCAGGTTTGTGGGAAAGTCTCTTGATAAAACTTTTGAGCGTACAAAGTACATGGAAGAAAAAACATTGCCACTTTTATTCTAAAAGGCAAACCAAAATTATACTGATGCCTTCCAAATTTGCCGATGATTTTGATATTAAACATATGTTAAATAATAAAAATGAATTCGCAATTTTGATGAAACCGAGAATTTATTATAAAAACGGATTAAATTTTGCTTTAAAAAAACCCAACGTCAATACCGAAATAAGCCATTTTATAAGAAGAAAATAACCGGTAATCAAAAATGTTTCTTTCCACTATTGAATTCGTTTGTGGGCTATTGATAGGACTTGCTGTTGGTCATTTGCTCCATTATAAAACATACGGTAGGATGCAAAAGTATCCCTCCACCAATAAAATTTGGTATAGTCTATGTAATAATCTGAAAATTTCAGAGTACCATATATGGCATAAATGCTGATCCTCTATGCCTTTTAAGGTAGTGTATATATGGGGCATGCTGCAACAAAACCAAACAAAGTGAACATTTGACTATGTAGCATAAATGAGAGGCTGATTATGATGTGGCTGTAAAATTGACCAGGGGTGATTGATGACGTTTTGAAGTAAGAATGATGCTTATGGACTTGTTAATTTTAATGCTCACCTTATCATACCAGAAGGTAATGAATATAAACCATAACATGATTAATATAGAATTACCTCTATATATAAAAATATTAATATGAAACTAATTTATATCAAATCCACTATGGAACCCAAGAATTACAGCACTATTAGAAGCATTCT